AACTGGTAAATAGCTTCCAGTCAGTCTCTGTGTGTTTAAGGAATGTAATGACAAATAGTGGGGCTTAAATTTAAGTTTAAAAATTAGACCAGAGGTCAGCAAAATTGGATTCATCAACAGGTATCTATCTAGTGTTGTTTCACTTCATTACTCTGTTCACTTGGTCATGGGTTGCAGTTCTCCAAAACAATAGAACTTGTGTGTGTGTGGTGTGTGTGTGTGTGGGGGGGATTGATTGATTATAACTCACCCAATAATTACGGAGGCTGAGAAGGCTCAAGGATCTGCAGTCAGTGACCTCAAGAGCCTGGAGAGCTGATCTGTTGATCCATTCCAAGTCTGAACTGAGAACCAGGAGAGCCAAGGCATCCGTTCCTCTGAAAGCCATGGCTGATGACTGAAGTAGAGCCCCTTTTAATCTGAGTCCAAAGGCCAAAAAAGACCATACTTGCCGCATCCAGCCCGGCTAGTTGAACGGGCCAGAGTGGGGGCGACAGAGGATTAAGAAAGACAAAGAAATACTTGAAAGCAGGGCCTAGGTGGACAGCTGTCTGCTGATGGGAGAACAGTGACCCAATCTAGCAGCCGTGCTTTACTTATATAGTCTTGCTTATGCAGGGGCAGGAAAGGGGAGGAGATAGCCTTGGGCAGGGAACTTTCCGTGTGTCAGCTGCAGATTATTAGCAACCAATGCATCGGACTCAAGATGTTTAGTACCTAACATATCGAAACCACCTGTGGGTGCTGGAAACCTCCGTATGCTGAGGGGCTGCGCCAGCCTTGCTAAGGACTCAGCCAGACAGTGTGCCTTACACCAGCCTCTACTTTACAGCTCCGGATGGGCCTCTCGGTCCCCGGCACACACTAACTAAAGCAATCAGGCTGGAGGAGTTCCCCCTTAGCTTTTGTGTTCTATTCAGGTCTTCAGTTTATTGGCTGAGGGCTACCCACCTTAGGGAGAGCCATCTGCTTTACTCAGTCTACTGATTGAAATGTTCATCTCCAAAAACCACCTCACAGACACATCCAGAATAATATTTGACCAAATGTCTGGGCATCGTGTGGTCCATTCAAGCTAACAAATAAAAATAACCATCACAGCTTCTTATCCTAGTTTTCATGGTCTAGAGGCCTTTCACCTAACTGCTCGGCTCTTTGAGACTTAACAGATACAGTTTATGAAAAACAGCAGTTTTTAGTATTGATTGCTACCAGGGGTTTTCTGCACTTTGCTTCTACAGAGAATGCTCCCCCCATCTGTGCTGGGTAGTTTTCTGGGAGTGCCTCCACGAACTGACAATAGTGACACTGATAGCTAATGTTTATATAGTACTTACTATGAACTGTAGTGTTCTATGTGCTTTTACACAGATTAACTCATTTTAACCTCACAACATTCCTATGAGGTGTCTACTCTGCATGCTCTTAACAATTTTCTTTTACAGAAGAAGAAACAGGTATAGAGAGGTTAAGTAACTTGCCTAAGATTTGGAAGGAAGACTATATAGCAAGAAAGAAGTCACACACTAGCCTCAGAAAGGAGGGAACTACACAGTGGAGTGAGTGTCAGGCCAGACATCTGTTTTGTCTTCCTTAAACAGAGGTATTAATATGAAGGAAAGGATAAATGGTCTTTATAGATTTCCTCTGATTCCAGCTGCTTAACACTGTTAGTACTTTTTATTATAATTCCATTGGCTTGATGGTAAAAAAATTTCCCAAGATATCAGCAAATAGATCATCAGTCCTAGATTTTGGTCATAGTGTGAGCTTTTGTCTTTTTCTTTGTCTTCATAGGTATTAGCATAAGCTAAGAAAAGCCAGCTTTAAGGGCTTGTTAGCCAGAAATCGTTTTATATGCACTTTTCAGGTACATCTGCTACATATTGGTCTGCTCAATCAGAAACAAGCTATCTGGTCTATTCTTGCTCAACTCAAGGCTAGGTATTTTTAAACGGACTTCCTAATGGATTTTTCCATTTTGTATTTAGCAACAGAAATGCTTAAAAGAGAACATTGCATTGTTCCTGAATAGCTTGTTTTCTTCAGAAAGTTTTTTTTTCATATTCACAATATATTTTACAGATCCAGAAAGATGAATAAATAAAATCTTTAAAAACATAGATCAGATTTAAAAAAACACAAAAAAGGGCCGGCCGAGTGGCGCGATGGTTAAGAACTGGCTTGGGACGCCAGAGGGCCCCGGTTCGGATCCCACATAGGAGGGCCAATGACACTGCCCTCCACAGCTAAGATGCTGAATAACAGCTCAACCTGGAGCTGGGCTGCTGTGAGTCGCCGGCGACGGCATAGGCTGCAGCCCCTGTAGCAGTGGGTTGCCATGGGCTACCGTGTGTAGCTAGCAGCCAGCGTGAGTGGCCGTCCAGAAGCCGGTGACTGATCTGACTCCCCCGGGAAGAGCGCAATGATGGTGCCAACTTGGGCCAGTGAAGCAACGTCCTCCACAACTAGACTGAAGAACAAAACGACAGCAACTTGTCTGTTTCCCTTCCCCCAATTCCCCAGCACTGTTCCCATCCCCCCATTTCCCCAATTAAAAAAAAAAGTTTAAAAAAAAAACCACACACACACAAAAAAAAACCCACAAAAAACCTCCAAATGATGTCTTTAAATGTGTTCTTATGCAAAAAGTCGTCATATGAAGAAAGTTTGATCACCCTAGAGATTACTCACTGGTGGAAACTGACTAGTAGAGAAAAGTGTTCTCTTCACCCCCACCCCCACTCCCTTCCCAATCTGTCTAAAATTTAGAAGACAAATTTGGAAGCTAGCTGAAGAACTAATTGCTAGAGTGCTATCAAAGAAGCGACATCTCTGAGATAAGGGATAAGGTCCCAGTATTTGCATGTTTAAGAAGCTCCACAGACAATATCCCTAGTTACTAAAACATGGCTATTTAGGGAGTAACTGAATTGGAAGTTGAAAGAATACAGCTTGGGTGAACAGTTTTTGAATTTAAGGTTTCTGAGCTAAAGCCACTCTGATGACAGGTGGCTTGTGGAAAGACTACTGCCAAAGTGAGTAGACAAAGAGTGACTGTTAAGTCTGGGTGAAGCAAGGAGGCGTAGGTGGTGTCATCGCAAGTCATGCATATTAGAGGAGGGGTTTTGTTTGTTTTGTTTCACAGGAGGTTGGCAGAGCGGTGATCTGGAAGTAGCTTTAGTGGTGGCGAAGATTCTTGACCCTCCTGACGCAAAAGAGCAAGGGTTCTACAAAGTAACCAGAGGGCAAAAACATCAATTCTTGCCTTTTGAGATTTCAAAAGCTATGGTTTTAGGGTGAATCAGAAAGATTTGCAAGAATATGTAATACATGACTATCCCACTGCTATTCCCAGTTCACTCTCACTCCACTCCCTCAGTCTATCAGAACTAAAAACTCTGGCTGGGGAAGAAGGAAGGAGGCCACCAAGGCAGAGAAGAAACATCGGTGAGTGAGAGGAGAGTGGCACTTTGCTCCCTACAAGCTGCCTCAGGCTGAGCACACAAGTGGGGAGTACAGAATTTGACCTACATACTAGAATTCTTTTGTTACACTTTTCAATTAAATTGTATGTTCTTTGAAAGCAGTGAACGTATTTAGCATCTCTTATACATCAGTTTGTATACAGTAAATCCTCAATTGCTATTGATTGAACTGATCCCTCAGAATGCTTCAAATTATTTTTTGCCTATAGCTCTTGAGACATTAAACATAATAATCAGACTAATGACTCCTATGTTTATTTTCGATTCAATTCAGTTCCAAACAACTCCCACACTTAAAACCCGTCCCAATACAGAGATTCTCCAAATTTCCAGAATCTCCCTTCTCTTTCAAAAGCCACTTTCTAAGGAAAGACTTTCTTTAGCTCCAGCATCTATCTTGTGAACCAACCATTCTATTCAAACTAAGTATAGCAACCATGGGTCCCAATTTTCTGCTGTCATTTTCTAATATTTTCCCATAAATTATTAGTTTTTCAAAAATACTTGGTAAACAGAAAGCAAATGAAACAAGCATTAACCAAATGTGCTTTTTAAAAATAGTTTCCTTTTATAGGTGTATAACTAATACATATTTACTGACCGCTAAAGTTCACTCTTCTCAACACTAAAGATGGAGCAGTTGACAGAATAAAGGAATTCTTTAGCAGACAATCTAGTTGTGCTGATTTCAGAAAACATGGTCCCATGCGCACACTTCTCAGATTGATTCAAGTATGGAAAATATATCAGAGGTAAAGGCAGAAAGAAAGACAGATGGGAGCCAGGAGTGATACTAATGCACAGATAAGGAGTCGAATGCAAAACTAGCGATTACAATTATAACAAGGAAATTTCAAGTTGTAGCGGACAGCTTTGAGCTATATCCGTGGACAGGTCTCAGATTTGCCTAAACTCAATAATCTGAACTGGAAACTCAGAGTTCGGGCAGTGCCTTAAGATTGCTCCTCATCAGACACTCCTCGCCAGAGCCTCTGGTGCACGGTAAACTGAAGCAGAAAAAGGCACCGCCATCCTTGGGTTCAGCATTTTCCTACCAAGGAAGGACTGAGAGTAAAGTAAACGAGGGGAATGGGTCGGCTTTTAAAAAAGCAACCAAAACCAGCAGTTCTCGACCCCCTTGCACTCAGTCATGTAGCCCGTGCACAGCCCCCTCGCCGTCCCAGAACAGGGCTCACCCCTCCACCCGTTTGGGAAAAGGAACGGGCAGCAGCCTTCCAAGACGCCTTCCGGGGATGAGGGACCCTCTCCGCTCCCGGTTGCACTCCATGGTCCACCCCCCACTCCACCCCGACCCGTCCCCTCCTCTCCCCTCCCCTCCCCTCCCCTCCGGCCGTGCCCTGTGACGTCACAGCGAGGCATCGGCGACTGTGAGGTCGCCGCGGCGACGGCTTGTGACAAAGCTTTCTTCTTCCCGGCTTCTGGGTGTTCCTTTAGGTCTCATGTTCCAAGCTGTGAGAGAGGGAGGGCGTGGGAGGTCTCTGATATGACACTATGGAGGAAGAAAGAGGCGAAAACTTCGACGGTGTGAGCACCGATCGCCTCAAACAGGAGTTACTGGAAGAAACCCACTTGAAGTGAGTTGGAGGACACGTAGGCTCACGACCCCGCCGCCCGAGGGCGTGCTCCTGAGTGCGCTCTGCCGTTCAAGGCTGGAGCTACCGAGCTCGAAGTGACACCGGCAGTGTGATTAATACCGGGGCTGATCTGGCGGCATCTAAAAGCTTTTATAGGAAAGATTCCTTTTCTTCAATTAAGCATTTAATATTATAAATAGGTTTTGAGGTAGGATGTGCTGCCATTAGGATCAAATCAAACGGAGTGTACTGTCTGCATATATAATACCATAATGCTAAAATACGTGTTTGGTTTTGATGGACCACTAAATTCGGATTTTCTGTTTCACATTACAAAGGTCTCCTTTAATTATGCTTTCTCTTCCATCCCTTTAGAAGAATTTAAGAAAAGGTGACATTTTAGAAAAATGATGCCCCTCCTATATATTTTTTAAAATACTCAGTATTAGAGCTTTATATTAAATCTTTGAAACATTTTAAGTATTTTTTTAAGATGCACCCAACCCCACCCTCAGGCCCCACGAGAATGTCGACCTTCCTGGGCGCCCTATAGCTTCCCGCGCTTTCCGCTGTTGTAGCTCCAACCACACTATTTTATTTTATTATTTTATTTAAAATTTTTCTTCCAGGCTTGAATGCCACAGCTGTTCAACCACACTATTTTAATTGCTTGGTTAATTCTTGGTCTGGCGCTTACTATAAGGATGCTGAGGACAGGTTCTGTATTCCCTGAGGCAATAGAGCATAAGAGCAAGTGCTTTAGAGGAATACTGCATACATTCAAAAATCCCCAGCTCGGGCCGGCCGAGTGGCTCAGTTGGTTAAGAGCTCGCTTAAGAGTTTGAGCTCTGAGCAACAGCGGTTCGAGTCCAGCCCGAGCTGAGCAGCAGCTGAGCTGCCAACAGGTAGCAGGATGGCTCAGCTAAAAAAAAAAAAAAAGAATCCCTAGCTCTTATCACCCAATAATTATATGACCTTTGGCAAGTTAATGAACCTCTATAAGCCTCAGTTTTCCTAACTCTAAGATTGGTGTACAAATTGTTTTCATTCCTCGTGTGGTTGTTGCTGGAATTGAGTAAAATGCATGTAAGGCACCTAGCATTGGCTTGTAATAAGCAGTCAGTGGAAGTTAGCCGCTGTTATTGCTTTTCTTCTGTTCACTTATTCACTGCGGTATCTTCAGTACTTAGCACATTACCTTGAACATAATAGGCTTTCAAAAATATGTACTGAATAAACGATTCTGTGATATTTTGATAATTAATGTGCTATTTAATGATATTCTAAGTAGATAGATAATCTCTGGAATGCATTTGTTTTGTTTTTTACTAGAGTTTCTTTTTCCCTCTTTGTTTCGGGTTATCAGTTGTTATCTGTTGCCTTAGCTATTTCTTTCTATAATAATTTGCAGCTCATTTGCTAGGCTTTGAGAAACCAGAGAACCAACTTGTTGGGATCATATTTAAGAGTAAAGGGCTACCTGAGGGACTTGGAGCTTTAGTGCATGTTAGTGTCCTGGAACTGGATAATCAAAGCCTCCATTGGTCTGATTCCTGATTCTCAGCCATGTCTTCAATAAGTGATGTTTCATAATAAATTGTTCCTGAAATAGTGGTGGGTTACTCTGTATTCTTCTCGTGTTATTTTTTAACTGAATTGTAATTAACAAAATATTTTTAATAATAGGGTTATGGTACAACTATCAGTACTTGAATTAAGAAACAAGATAGCGGAACTGGAAGCTAAACTCAATACTGACGATGAAGGTATATCAGTAAATATTTTTATATGTGACTCCTGTATAATTACTATTTATTTTACCAAGATACCTATAGTACATTAAATTACATATGTGGAATAATAGTCCCAAGGTCTCGGTATTGCCTTTTGTCAGCATTAGTAATAATTTATTATAGCGGCTTATAAAACTGATATTTTGGACTATCAAACCTGTTAGTGTATATACTTTACTTACGAGTTCAAAATGTTTGTTCATCAATTAGAAAACTTTTGTTACATGACATCAACATATTATGTCCTTAGTAAATAATAAAAGATGAGTTTTCTATTTAACTCACGTAATACCCTTCATATCTTAACTTCTGGATTTGGGGTATAACTTTAAAATTGTTATCAAGGTTTTTGCTATTTGTGTTGGAAGAATGGTGGGGTGAGTGTTGCATGCAAACGCATATCACACATACATACACATGCACATACCCACGTACTTAAAATTTATAATGTAGGGCCGGCCGAGTGGCTCCATTGGTTACGAGCTCGCTTAAGAGCGTGAGCTCTGAGCAACAGCGGTTTGATTCCTGGCTGAGCTGAGCTGACAACAGGTGGCAGGATGGCTCAGCTAAAACAAACAAACAAACAAAAATTTATAATATATGCAAGACATTAATTCATTCCACAAATATTGATCAAGACCCTGCCATATGTCAACATTTTGAGTAGAAGAACTTTCTTTTCCCTGTTGTAAAGAGGTTCACTGACTTTTAGGAGAAAGTATCAAACTAAAATATGAATATGAGAAATGACCTAAGTTCTGCATAAGTAGAGATGGAAACTCAAGTAAAGAGCACCTAACACAACTGGAATGAGGGCATAAAGACAGCTTTCTAGAGGAGGCAGTACCTGAAATGAATGCTAAGACACAGAGTTTATTAGGGCTATGGGGATGGGCTTTGGTTCTTAAACCCATTTATATGTCTCTCTTCTACTACTGAGGAAGTCAATGAACAAAAAGAATTAGTAGCCATATGAGAAATAAAAACGCTATTTCTCATAACTACTCAGTGCTCTGTTAAAGCTTGATAAGAACGCTACTTTGGGGCCAGCCAAGTGGCGCGTTGGTTAAGAGCTGGTTTGGGACGCCTGGTTCAGATCCCACATTAGGGCCAGTGACGCTGCGCCCTCTACAGCTAAGATGGTGAACAACAGCTCAACCTGGAGCTGGGCTGCCGTGAGTCGCCTGCGACGGTGTAGGCTGCAGTGGGTGTGAGCTTTCATGAGCCACCATAAGCAGCCGTCCAATGACTGGTGAGCGACGGCCTCACCTGGGAAGAGCGCAATGATAATACCAACAAGGGCCAGTGAAGCAACGTCCTCCACAGCTAGACAGAAGAACAAAAGGACAGCAACTTGTCTGTTCCCCCTTCCCTGATTCCCCAATGCTGTTACCCTCCCCGAATTCCCCAATAAAATCTTTTAAAAACAAAAAAACATAAATGCCCTTTGAGGAGAATTCCAAAGTAATTGATGAAGAAAGAACACAGGTTGTAATGAGAATGTGACAGGAGATGAGATTAAGGTTTATGAAGAAGACAAATGGAGAATAGTCTTTAATATGATGCTAATGGATTTATATTTATCTTGAAGGCAATGGGGTGATATTAAAGGAGTTTTCAAATACATTTATTATTGTTTTAACATTATACATGCACAAGTGACAACTATAGATACCTGTTTGGTAGTTCTTTCACACTTTCCACCCTCCTCTAATCTCTGCCACCCCTCTCCCCATTCTCACTCTCAGCTAATGAGCTTACCTTCTTCCTCTTTCAAGGAGAAAAGAGAAGCAGTGAAAAGAGGATATCTACATGTTTCCACCAAGAAAGCTACCCACCTACCTGTATCTTTGCTCATCCATTTTCTTGCCTTCTGTTCCTATGCATGGTTGCCCTTATTCTTTTTTTTTCTTAAGCTGAGCCATCCTGCCACCTATTGGCAGCTCAGTGGCTGCTCAGCTTAGGCCGGGCATCAAACCGCTGTTGCTCAGAGCTCAGACTCTTGAGTGAGCTCTTAACCAACTGAGCTACTTGGCCAGCCCTCAGGGTTCTCACTCTTGAGTGAGCTCTTAACCAACTGAGCCACTTAACTAGCCCTGCCCTTACTCTTATCTAATGTTAACCCCTTCTCTTGTGTGATAGAGCTCATCTCCTCTCCTCACTCATGGATATCACTCCAGCCATCGTCCTCTCTCTTTCCTGCCACCTCCTGTTTTCCTTGCTCCGCTGGTTCTTCTCAGAAGCATATAAACATGCTGAATGTATTTTATCTAAGAAACAAATGACAAACCTTTGGTCCACATTTCCCCTTCTATCACCCCTTTTCATTGCTCCATGTACAGCAAAACTCTTCCAAAGAGTGGTGTTCTATTTCCTCTCTTACCTGTTTATTCTTATGTAATATATTTGGATTAATTGTAACTGGATTAATTTTTAGGCGAAACAGTGAACAAAACCAGCTCCAGAGGGCTTCACATTCCCATAGTGGCCTCTTGAAGCCCTTTAGGATTCAGAAGAAACTATGTACAGAAAAAGTGGTTTATGTTTTAATGAAATCTGAATTTTATCATTTAAAGTTCAGGGACAAGACAAAGCAGGAAAGAAAATGTTCAGGTGACTATTTTTTTCAAAAGCAAGAAGAGTCAGTATTTGTGTAGAGCTCTCAGTGCGTTTTTAAAAATTGAAACCCCACAACTACCTTTTGAAAAAAAGTATTATTACCCCATTCTATAGATGAAAAAACTGAGACGCAGGGATACAGGGATTCTGTTAATAAATGGCTCTGTCAAGGCTTCCCAGTTGGTGAGTGATAGGTCTGCAATTTGAATCCAGGTCTTTCTCTCTCTCTACGCCCCCAAAACCTTGATTTACTGCTTCCATGACATTTGTTCACCTGCTCATCTAAAAATAGAAATGAGTGGGATTTGCCTAGCACAAGCATGACTGTTTCATTCTCTCTGGAACTCCTTCCAATCTGACATTTTGCCTCTAATCAACTGAAACTGCTATTTTGCCAAGGTCACCAGTTACATCCAATTTGCTAAATCCAATGTCAACTCTCAGTCTTCATCTTACTTATCAATAGTATTGCCACAATTGATGTTGGCAAAGGGCCAGGAGGGCAGTTTGTAGGCTCTCAGCCTCAGTGGAAAGGTGCTGGTATTATTAGATGGCCATCAGCTGTAACCAGTTGGCCATTAGCTACTATTGTTTTGCATATAACTGCGTTAGCAAGCGCGTATGTCGCGGATGGTGCAGAGCCTGCGGATCTTACTTCCTGTGTCTCACCCAGCCACCGCCAGCTGGACTGTGGCGCAGGAGGACCCCTTGTTGGGGTATTGGCAGATGTTTGCTTCTCTTGTCTCCACCAGTCTTCATCGAGAATTTAATACAGTGGTATAAACCCCCTATCTGTGGCTCCGTTGTTGTTCCTTTTCCGCCTCACTGAATCCTGCCTTCATCTGCAGGAAGCTGAGCTCTGTCATGAAAATTGATCACCCTTGTTCTTGAAACTCTTTGCTCACTTGGCTTTGGGAACACCACACAGTCTTGGTTTTTTTTTTCATACCTATTGGGCACTGTTCATTTCTTTTGATTTCTGAAAACTTGGAGTGCCCCAGAGTTCAGTCCTCTGACTCTTCCTCAAGCCGTGCACCCCCTAAAGAGGTGATCTCCTCTGGCCATATGGTATTAAATAGGACTGTGCACCGGCAACACACAAATTTACATCTTCATCCTGGACCTCTCCTGTGAGCTCCTTCGAGCCTTCATTTATAGGCTGATTTCTATCCCTGAACCTCTTTGGCTATTAAGTAATAGATTAATAGATCAAATATTTTTAAAAAACACAGTAGATGTTAAGAAATGTTTTGATAAAATTCAATTAGTCTCCCTTATTTTAAAACAAAAATATTTTTATTTATCTCAAACTGGCATAATACATAATGTTGAAACATTAGAGGCACTCCCGTTCCTGGGGGAAAAAAGTTGCCTGCTGCCACCATTAAAACTTAACAATGTTTTGACAGTTCCGTGTCAAGCAATAATATATGAATCAGAAATATGAATCATAGCTCTAGACAGGAAGAGATAAAATTATTATAATTTTCAGCTTATAAAATTTGATATCCAGAAACTTCCAGAGGATCAATTGAAAAATTAATATACTCGTAAAGAATTAGAAAATGGGTGGATATAGTAATGGATGAATGTTTATTTTTTTAAAATGCCAAACGCCAGCAATAACCAGTTAGAAAATAGGGTTTTTAAATGGCCCCTGCCGCAATCCCAGCCCCAAGCCATAAAATATCTCACAATACCCTTGATAAGCAGAACTTATGCAAAGAGATAGCAAAAGACTGACTAGAAGAGAGTCATAACAGTTCAGCCAGGATTCTCACCTTATTCAGTCTAAGAGATTTCACACTGGAGAGAAACACTAGAATAAAATGAAATTGGGGAAGTATGCTTCCTTAGCATATGTCTTGCTGAGCTTCTGAATATGTTTATTGGTGGTTGACACACCTAACACCAAAATCTCACTGTGAACCTTCTTATAAAGTTAATGAGCTAAATATTGCTTACTAGATGTCAGTAAATTTCTGCTGAAGAGACGCCATGAGTTAATAAATAACAGCCTCAGCTGTGCTCAAGTTCCTGTGCTTCTGAGAACCTACGCTAGAGAGGGAAAAAATGCTAGAGGTTGGTCTGTGGAAAGAGCACAGGCCATAGAATCAGAGCCCCAGGGTTTAAAACACAGCTGTGGAACTTAAAAGTGTAACTTTAAGCAAGTTACTTAAAGCCCTCTTGGTCTCCATTTCGCTATCAATAACTTGGTGAGAAAAAAAAATACATGAGCCATAGCGTTCTTTGAGGAATAAATATGCAATATGTAGCGATGCTTACCATCTTCATTATTAAGATTTTCATAAGAAGAGGGACATATACATTTCCCATGTGGGAGAAACGGATAT